ACACCTTTTCGATTTGGATTCTCTATGCGAATATTAAACGCAAAAACAATGGCTCAGTCCTAGACAAAAATCACTTCCGACCCCAAAACCTGGACCCCATCCGCAGAAAGTGATGCTTTGCATTTGGTGGGACATCAAAGGAGTAATTCATTTCGAACTCCTCAGTCCACAGCGAACTGTCAATGCAGAGATCTATAGTCAGCAACTGAAACGTTTAAATCAAGCCCTTCATCAGAAATGTCCTTCACTCGTTCTGATATTTCATTGGTGGTAGTGTCCAGGGTCACTGATGAGGAGTGGAATTTTCCGAAACTAGTGTAGCTCATAGACACACAACCCAATGAAAGAATAGACCATTCCAAGCTCTACCTATTCAATTATGGTCTTATCCTTTTATATGTGCACAAAATGAACAGTGTTTTGTTCACTACTCCACTCATTCATGTTGGAAATCAGTTAATATTGTGTGTGATATACATCTCATGTCACCTACCCATCATAATAAGTTGGTTTCTCAATTGGGCTTTGTTGTTGAAATGGATTTTTAAATTCCATAACTTCGTTAAGTAGTGTTGTAAGTGAAATAGTGTAGGAAGATCTTGCAGTCATAAGTGGTACAATGGCAAAGGTAATGGTGTTTGAATTTCAAATTTTTGAGAACATGGAAAAACAGCTACAGTTGTTCTGGTCCTTGCATTTGCAAGTTCAATTTATAAATATTTTATTCTGGCATTGATTGTTATTTTGTATTTATTTGATCTTCTCATTTTTCAGTATATTTCCTATAGCTGATTTTTATTCATAATTATTTTGTAAATGTTATGTCTCTTACTTGTATTTTCTAATTTTTCCATCTTTTTCTTCTTGGCCTTCTTGTAATTTCCCGTCTCTTTCTTCTTGTTCGTCTTTCCATTGTTCATCATTTCCAGCAAATATTCAATCTCTTTTCGATCACATGTCACCATTTTGAAATTTGAACTAGATTTTATTTTATTTTTACTCAAACATTTTCCACTCCTGGCACTAGTGCTGTGATGTTTTCTACTATGAGTAAGTTCTTTGGGATTATTTGTTGAAATATATGTATAGTTTTTTTTTCATAGTGACTACAAAGCACGTTCACTGTGATATAGGTCCAGCTTATCTCTCTTTAGTTAACTTGTGTTCAAGGTTACTGATCAGGAGTGAAATTCCCCGAAACTAGTATAACCCAATAACACATGTTGGTCAAAGTGTAGATTGAACTGGACCTCCCTTGAACTTTGACCTTTGAGATTAAACATTTTTCGGAATACTAAGTTTATTTACTTATATCTGCTATCGTATTGCCAGTGTATAGGTTTTTCTCATAGTGAATACAAAGCATGCTCACGCCAAAAGTATGGTTGAAAGCACAGATGAAGTTAAATACACACAGCTGTTTCTACACTGTTATGCTGCTAGACTGGCTGGACTAGTTATAATTCATATGACTACACCTGGTTGCTGGAGTTGAAGGCAGAATTACAAGCTGAACACAGCTATCCAAATCCGTTTGAAGCTTTTTCTTATCACCCGCTTGAACAGATTACCTTGCTGGAAGATCCATTCCGAAACGCGTACATACTACAGCTTAAGTCTTAAGAAGTAGTATGTTTAACTTTACTCATGAACACTATATAATGTATATGTCTGTACTTGTGTAAAAGGAAGGCACATATTTACAATCTTGCTACATCCGTCAACATGGACTTGATCAACTTCAGCGACAAATTAGTATCTATTTCAGATATGATATAAATTGAGGAATTTCTCTTCAAGTATATACTTATACTAATTATAAATATTTTATTTTCATATGATATGTAATAATTGATTTATTGAAGATTATCTCTCATTAGGCTATTACAACTCACAATTCTGATCACTCAGAGTGGCATTAAATCTTTTTCAGATTAGAATTCACTACGTGGGGCAGGTGTGCACGAAGCAATCAGATACAAAAGTTATAAAGGAAGTAGACAAAATGAGTGTTTCTATTTACCTGCTATCCTTTGTTCTTTTTGTTGCTTGTCATTGAATGATAATCTGTTACTATTTATAACATGACAACAAAAGCCTGAATTGCAAATAAGTGTAAAAATTGGCTTTATTAGTAATATCTTTTTTCTTAAATGACATCTAATCGATCTATTTTGTGTACCACAACCAGCCTTACGCACATAAAACCGCGACGGTTCTTTAAATAAATATTATTATTATCAGAGCATGTGCAAGGAAACAATACCACTGTGGCATTCAGATTAGCTAATAAGTTCTGTAGATAACGGAAGGATCGAAAAGAACAAATTTATAAAATTTGAATTGCAGGCAAACCAGTAAAATAAAAGAGACTGGAGACAGTTGCTTAATGTAAAACAACAAAGAAAATTATCTTTACTGTACATAACTAATGAATTCAGTACTTGAGCTGGCCGGCTCCCTTGTGTTGGTATTTAACTTTTCCACTACACTAAGTCTTGTATTACGTTATCAGTCATGTGAAAATTCGCCTTATGCCTCACCCCACAATCCTAAATAACCCACGTCAGATAAGAAGTTATAGTTATTCTACATTCAAGAAAATATAATTTCCCTTCTAATCAGTGGTACTGACCACTATATTCTCCAATTTTTGGGCACAGCCGATGTGCCAACTGAAATAACACGCTAGTCCAAACAGACACACAAGCAACTTTTTGATAGTCACTTTCTGGTTAAGAGTAGAATTTTTTTTATGACTAGTCTTTAAACGTAGGCAAAGGTAATGGGAAACCTGCACTGAATGTGATGGAATGTTGTTTAGATGGTTTTACGTCCTCGTGTAGGTGCGCCGTTCTTCTATTTCTTAAGCTGTTTACTGTGGTATACTGCAATTGATGTAACCTGAATTTTGCATTTCTTTGCTATACGAGTATGAAATATCTTAGTCCCTCATAACTCTACCAATAGCGATGTTGTACTGTCGAGCGATCGGAAATTCCTCGTGAACCAATTATAAAAAGTGAATAACCATTCGTAATGTAATCACTTACACATCCAAATGCATCTTTGAAAAGGCTTCACAGGTTTGACTGTATTTGCTTCTAGCTGTCTGCACATCAACTAGATCGCATGTGTAAGGAATAAAGCTATGACGTCTGATGATTTTATATGAAATTTTAAAACTTTTTCTCTATTGCATTACGTTGATTAATTTACCAAATCTATATTTACAGACCAGGCGTGGACTAGTAACTATCTTAGCTAACTGCGGATCCGGGAAACTGTTAGTTTTTCATTCCATTGTTGTAAAATCGCACTCCACAATTGGGAGCAGTGGGAATATTACAAGAGTGATGGTCAAATCTCTATATTCGATTGAATAGCCTAAGAGTTGTAGGTTGGCGGTGTTAACTAGCAGCTCTCCCTCTTGTATATCAGTTCAAAATTAGGGACCGGTAGTGCAGGTAACTCTTGTGTATCTTTGTGTAAATATTCGAAACAAACAAACATTGTTTTAAATTTTATTGAATCAATACTCAGTTGTTACGATAGACATAAACATCATTTTGCATGTTTTAAGGTTTTTCCATTATCATCAGTGCATTTTACTGCTACCGACGCTATTGCTAAACAAAAATATTTATTTTCATTATGGTTTTACATTAACCTTATTAAAATTGCCAAGTCAGTAATCAGTTTTTATTGGTCATATTGGGACATTAATAATAATGAACTAGCAGCGGATCTAGGATTTTGGAAAGGGGGGTGCAGTCCCCTGGATGGGCACCATACAACTTCAGCATACATCAGTTATATCGATTCAATCAGATGATACATAAAACTTAAATATCATAAATTATTGGCCTGTAGCTAGGAGAGGCAGAAATGAAAACCTATTATTGAAAAAGGGCGCAAAATTATGAAAAGGTGGGCGGCTGAACCCCCCCCCCTGCACTCTCCTTGAATCCGGTAGTGCCATGAACCACGATAGTGGTTCATAATAAGGATCGCAAATAGAACGTTCGGGCAGAAAGCACCTTAAACAGTAAAGCATCAGTTCAAACAACTTTTAAAACCTTTATTGTTGACTGCTAAGGCTATGCATATATAAAAAATGCACAGAAAATCACGCATGTTGGACATACAAGAAAAAGAAAATCCTCTCAAAATGGCCCATTTGTAATTTTTCTTTTTCTTCTTCTTATTCTCTTGCCTCCCTAAAACAAAAACGGCTTGGTATATTGCATCCAAACTTTTTGTAGAATACTAAACAAGGTATTGCGAAAATCTTAGGGGAATTGAGAAGTCGATTTATTTCACCTGTATTGTACATAAGCTAAAAAACATCATAATTCTAGCGTAAATGATGTTATTACCTCTTAAAGTTAACTTTCTTACAAATATATGGTGTTCCTTTAAAAAGCTTAAGCGCAGGGTGAAACAGGAATTACCAGCCATTAATAAATGAACAATAAATGTTACGTAAGTAACAACGTATTTAATTGTTTTATACTTTTCCTGTTAAATCTTAATGGTTATAATGATATAAAATATTGCTATAAATTGGAATTGCACTTGTGAAGATTATATTGCACGATTGGATTAATTCGTGGATTTAGAATTAACCTAAATCTCCTAAACTGTCTACACTATGGGAGATATTATTGAGATTACTGCCGAAAACTTTTTTTAATAACAAAGTGTCCAATTAAAATGACTTAAACTCGTCATGATAGGTCTTAATTTTCTGATGTACTGGTTAATATCATTAAGTATTTACTATACCGGATTGTCCTCGTTAATGTATATGCGATTTCTATATATTATTTCTTATCATCTTTATTGTTAGTTTACTTTTATTAAGGTTTTAATAATTAAATCAAGTAATGAAGTTGTATGTCTAATATTCTTTTTTGTAGAGCCAAAATAATACAGTGCTTGTTTTCCAGTTGCATACCTAGAGAAACAGTAACAAACAGTTAATGATAGTTAAAATAAAATCAGTATTATTTATTTTAAATTTATAACCATAAAGTAGCTAGATAATGCTATTTACTTCAGTTAAGACTAAATGAGATGACGTTAGACTTATATTCTCTTAAGTAGTAGTGGAGTGGCTTAGAGCCTAGTAAAAAAAAACTCCATCGATTCGCCATCTACTCAAAGGAGCTTGGATCTATAAACCTGTAGTAGAGAGTGCTTCCGAAAAGGTGCCAACATGAATGTTCTTCTGCGAATATAACAAGTACATGTATCTCAATTATTGTCTTAAAATTTACTTAACTCAGATTTGCTCTCTTTATATATCTTTGAAAAGAAGTAAATCATTATGAATATAAAAAGACTGTTAATTTTCAGACAGTTTAATAACAGTTTACAGTAAATTGTAATGATAGAAATTGCTGAATAACTTTATTACGAGCATTCTGCTTATTTGTATAAATTTAGCTAAGTATCTTATGCAAATCCCCATTTAAGTTATCCACGTCTATAAAAATAAAATGTAACTTTAAAAGCAGATTCATGCGTTTGCTATTTGTCATACAGGTCTTATCTGATCTGGTTATGACCTACCGGTGTTGATATATCTCTTAGAAACCTATTAGACGTTTGAATGTTCGTGATTCAACCATCAACCTTCGTAACTGTTGAGAACTAAAGGAAACTACTGGATTTTATTTATAACTTATGATAAATAGTGTTAAAAGGCGAAAATGTTTATGTCGTTTTCAAGGGTATTCTTCCTCAAATGGTAAATAATTTTGGTGCTTATAGGAAGTTAACTTCATTAGGGACGTAGGCTAAACTTATATTTGTTTTTAAAAAAGATTTACAAGGATTAGAGAATAAATTGTTCATAATCCCATTCCTCCAATGCTTTTAAATTCGTTTTAAGAGCTTACTTTATGCAGTATATTCATTTATACATTTTGGAATATAAAATGCAATATTTCATTTTCTGATTTATAGTGTCAAAGTCTCGTATCAAACTTTGAATGTATAAGCTGACAATAAAGTTTCAGAACGTTTATACCCGATGTTAACTTCGATTTACATGGTCAAAATACACTAATATTGCTTTTAACGTAGTTTTTGAGCATTTGTTTCTTTGATTTCATATTATTATAACCACCATTCTAAAGATGATTCTTCATTGTATACATTCTTAAGAACACCACTGAATAATAAGTATTTAATTGCACAATGATTATTTAATACCATCCTAGATTTCTGCTAAAAAATCACAAAATTGACAAATTTAATCTGTGTTTTGTTTTTAATATAATATGGTAACTAATTAGGGTTATTTAATATCATAAGACAGTATTATTTGAAATCTAATTCTAAAAAATAAAATTAAACACCTTAGATTTTAGCTTTGAAGAAAATCATAAGATATTCACTTCAATCAATCTCAAAATCTAAATAATTGACAAAATTAAAACATATGAATACGAAAATATTTACGTTAATAGGTTTTAAAATTTTGAAAAGGAGAGAAGTTGCACAAACAATACAAGTAAAATGTAAAAAGCTATTCGAAATTCTCACATCAGGACTCATCACCTTTGTACACTAATCTCGTAGTTTAATAACTGGTGTCACTCTTCGAATGAATTCCTGAAAGACAGGTATAATGCTACAAGTTATCTGAATGACCAATAGGTAAATAGATGATTATTAAAATATTATCACAAACTGACGCTATAATTAAAAATATTTATAGTTATTGTCAGATAATTATATTTGAAAAAAATAGGCGTTTATTATTACAGTTTTGTAACATGCAGGTTTAATTTATTTAGCTACGTAAATGAAGCCTTAAACCTGCATGTTACAAAACTGTAATAATTCCCATGTCTTAAAGGCACATGGAGCCAGTGCTTACTTCGGCTTAATCTTTAGAACAAATAAAAAGTGATTATTAATTGAATAACAGGAACTACAGACATAAAATGAACGTTTTTCATAATTTAAAGAAGTTGACTTTTTCTTATTTTTATTGATAAATCTAAGTGACAAAGTTTTATCCTAAAAATGCAAAATGCAACAATACTATTACCTTAGTGAGGGCGAAGTTTGGATCTTTTAGTCTCTCTATTATTGAAAAGTGGTCATTTTCTGGAATCACCTGGTACTCCACAGAAATACCATTTGATTGGAGACCCTGTTTTACAAAAACATCATTTAAGTGTAGGAAACTATTAGAAATACAATTATAGAAACGCAGTTTGACCGGAGACCTCTTTTTTAGAGTAACACAGTTTGATTGAAAACCCTGTATTCTAGAAACACCGGTTGTTTGGCAGAGGACTTATATCATAGAAACCCTGTTTGATTGGAGATCATGTACTGTAAAAACAGTGTTTTTTTTTTTTTTTAGTGAATAGTTACATAATAGTCTTAGTGCGTTCTGTTCACCGCGGTGAATCGAATCCACGATTTTAGCTTTGTAAGTTCAAAATCTTACTGCTGACCTACTCGGAACAAAAAATACTAGTTTGTTGTAGGAAACCTTACATTACAGAAAGATCGGTTTACTCATGGCTTTATACTATGGAGTCCTGAACATATTAGAGACCTCAGTATTTTAGAAACACTGATGATAAAGAATATTAGGGTGGCCACAAAAACTGAATCTTCATTTTCCCTGGCATTTTCAAGTGAAAAGTATCACTGTCAGTTACTGATAACTTCTATCAACAATAGCTTTAAAATCGATATAAGACTGTTATATTAACACGTGTTGTAGAAAATCTGTACTTGGTACAAATACTTCATAATATGACATTATATAGTAACGTTCCACTGGATTACCTAAATAACTATCTAGTTATGCCTAAGGACGAATCTAAGCAATTTTATGAAGTTACTAATATATGTATGCGTCATATACCTTTACATATTGCTCGGCTTGAAGTTTGAATGAAGGAGAGTCACAATCTGCCACGATGACGAGCACTTGGCAACTAATATCAAGATTCTGTGCCATTTCTTTCAGGAGCAAAAGTGGACTGTTTTCCACCGCGAGGTTTCTGCATTAAAGAAATCGTATCTGTAATTTTCTTTTAATATAAATAAAAATGCTTAAAGCAGTTAGATCTTCCAACTAAATGCTAAACGATCTTAACAAACTGGCTGAATTTTATTTATAAGGAGGATCACTTTAAATCAACCATTAGTACAACTTTTCAAAGTACATTTCACAGCATCAAATTTTATGCAATAGTTTACATTTATATTTTATCATTTTATTTCAAAATTTAAAGGTTAGATGTTTTCATGACCGGACTAGAACATTGGGAATTGTTTTCCCAGAAAGAAAACTTATCTCTAGGGTCAGTCTGGGGCAGGTTTTCAAATCAGCCCTGCTCCTCTTAGTTGGTGGCAGAATCCACCAAATATTCTGGTTTTGAGAGCCCCAAGGACATTTGTCTCTAATAGAAATTATATCTATGGCAACAAGGCCCATCTTGACAGCGTTTAAGAAGGTCAGTGTTTTTTTCTTCTTCAAAATCAATGGGGAACACACAGTGTGATATTCTCTAGATAAACACAACTAGGACAGCTTTGGTTGTCATACGATTGCCTGTTCGTCTAAAGTGAAAGAAAATAATGTGCCTAACGTTGTCTAGCACACACACACACAATTGGGTGTGTTATATCAAAACGATTTTGAATATGCAAACTAGCAAATCATGTGACCATCAAAGCAGATATAAAGTTGCGGTTGACGGCATGTATAGAACTACATTTTGACAGTAGCGCTTGTAGGTAGTGTAATGTCACCGAAAAAGAGCATGAATGGATGCGGCGACGTGGACTGTAACGACGTGGTAAGGCTCTAAAACCGTTTTAATATATTTTATTGCTGATTTTTAGGCGCCTGTTGGAATTTGTATTGAGATATAATGATATTCCGTTATTTATAAGCCATGGAAAGGTAAAGAATTAAGTTAATGTGTTTCTTTCTGTGTTTATATAACCGAAGTTATTGTCTTTAAAGTTAATGTTATAAATGCCGTAGTTTTGCACTCGAATTGAATAATGCACGTTAAACGTCGTTCACTTTTGCACTTATATAAATATAAACGTGCCAGTGCAATTAGACAATATGAATATTTGGTTTCTATGTGAGCTAGAACGCAAAGACGCGCGGACTGACTGACGAACATTGTTCTTTTAATGACACAGATAATTATTTTTAATGAACATCTAGGGTAAAGAATACCCTAAAACATTGGAATAAAAAGTCCAAACATGTTTAATAAAAAGTCCAAACATATTTTTATCAGATTAAGTACTTACCCGATGTAGTGCCCGATTGACCAAGAAAGATCATTTTCAGATATGCTGTATGAGTGAATTATCTTTATATGTATCTAGATTTCATGGAAAATCCCTCTCTGGCTCTTTTAATTTAAACACACAACAAATCAAGAAAGACTCCTCCATGACTATCGGACGAATTTAAAGCCATAATGCCACGTCAAGGCACCGTCCTTTTGTGTGGTTATCCAGTTTTGTTTTGTTAAAAACAGTTTAAAAGTGTAGGAAATTTGGTTAGACAGTGATCACCAATTACAGAGAAAAAACGACTGACCACAGAGTGAGATTACACAAGGATTTCGCTCAAGTCAGTGACCCTGCACCAAAGGCGTCGCTAGGCCCTGGCACACGGAACCCGTGCCCCAATTCTATTTGACAGTGCCCCGAATCCCCAAGTTGGTGTCTTAAAATCAAAATAGAAAACCATGATCGATATCATACTGAAACGCCGAAAATTCCCGCGCCTATGAGCCCGAGCCCCGAATCTTTTAAGCACCTAGCGACGGCTCTGGCCTGGACCTAAGATTTACGGGGCTTTTATTCGCGCTAAGGACATTTAGACTTATTCATCCAAGCACACACACATTTTTATTTTATAATGAGCGTGTGCACACCCACATGTTAACAAGTCATTTTTTACGCATCACTAGTATCATAGCCACGCTAAATCTAATATTCTCAAGAGCCACGACTAGTTGTATTCTTATTTATTATTTAACGAGTGCACCATCACGAATCGAAGTTTAATTCCAGGAAACAATTCATAATGGCGTCCTCAGGATCCCAAGGGGCGGAGCAGTAACACAAAATCTAATGCCAGGTTTTAGTTCAATGACGTTTCAGACCTGTTCTTTAATCACCATCATGCCTAGTTGACCTTTCCTTGTGCGTTTTAGTCCCCTTGGAACTCCATTTATAGGGGGGCTACGCCGTATAAATAAGGAAACCCGTCTTCCGCACCACCCGACCGCTTGAAAGCTTAGTCCTGCTAGCTCCAAAATTGTTGGGAGAGTTCTAGGACAAATACATTCACAAACACAACGTAAATAAATTTAGGATGTTCTAGTTTCTATGGTATATGTATACGCAAGTCTAAACTTATTCGTTTACAAATTAATAACAAAACTTACGAAGTAATTAAAGCTTTAAGACCAAAAGTAGTTTTGACAAGTGGACGTAGATCGTAAATCCCGCTGAGTAGAAATAAGCCTACAGGGGTAAAAATAGAAAAGTTACGCTTGTCGTGAAAAACATCAATAACACATAAAACCAAGTTAATGCCTGCATTTTGACTTGTGATTATACGGGTATGACATAAACCCGTGGTATACATGGACACTAAATAATTTATTTTTATTTGATTTTAGATAAAAATATTGAATCGTGATACATATTCTAATCACTGTATGTTACTCTACACTAACTTGTGCTACTAATAATCAAGAAAGTTATACTTTAATTAACAATTGATAAAATGTTCAAGTTTTGTACCATAATGACTACCTTGTCCAAACAACTTGATTGAAGTAATAATTTTCAGAATGGTTAATGTCTATTAATAATGACACTATGAATAATGCAAAGTGGAGGAGTGACTGATAACATTTACATAAGAAGTCAAATAGTTTTAATATGAAATTTGCATAAAATTTCTCCAATTTGCATTGTTACTAATGTTATTATTAACGAAGCCAGTTTTTGGGGTCCTTTCAAATGCCTCCAAATATTCGTAGTGATGACTTTTGTAAATAGGGTTAATCTCAAACATTGCTAATATTTTCTACTTCCCAGAGCTAAAATTTATAACAAAGTAATTAAATAATAACGAATTTTAAAGAATAAATAAAGTTTGCATCAAATTATTCTGATATTCTGTAAATATATGTTTAACAAACGGACCTAATTTTAGCTGTTTGTAACGTACATCGGTGTGTTTTAGCTTTATTTAAACTAATGGTCAATTAAATGATATTTAGACAAACTATTGATCATTAAAAGAAATGGAACACATATCTAAAGATACTTAAAGTTTTTGTTTGTTTTTCCACTTGAAACTAAAGTAATAGGCGGAGTTAGTTACGTCGGAAATAAAAACCACAACCAAAGATTGCTATTATCAATTTCAGAAATAATTTGTAAATGTTAAATTATTTCGTACTGTAAGCTTTCTGTAAATACGTCTTTTTTTCATGTTACTGAAATGTTTACCAAATGTTGATCTAACATAGTATCGAGTACGTTATATTAAGATTAATTTGAATTTGCAAATCAGGAAATCACATGATAACCACAGTCGCAGTGGTGCCATGTTAGCAAAGTCTTAGGATGGAGGAGGGCAGAATTAAATCCTAATTTCTACAAAATACATGAACTGTTGACGACGTAGCACGTTTCAGAGTTCATACATCAAGCTACAAAGAACCGGAGGGTTATGGGGGGGAAAATATGGAAATTTTGATTTGTGCTTTGTATATATATTAATAATTTATCATAAACATAACCTATTAAGACATTACTAAAAAAAACAAAAAAAAAAACGAATTAAGGCTTGGATGAGGCAGTTGCTCCTACCCTCCATTTGGTGTCACTATATAGCCGATATAATGTTGAGGTAGAACAGAATGTATCAAAACTACATTTTGACATTGTTTGGTGTTTTATCGGTAGTGCAATGCCACCAAAAATTGACCGCTTTGAGAAGAGTATGTAACAACCCTTTCTGACGCAAGTTATTCAGACACTCAGTTCATAAAGATTTGTTCAGATCAGGGATTTAGAATTTACAAGAAACCTGTAGCAACTCCTCCCTTAGTTGTCCATGTGTCCCAAGCAGCAATATGCAATATGGTTATGGGAACCCTGCAGAAAGAAGGGTTGAGCTTTGGACGTGACAACTTCACAACGGAGCTTTTTGGAATGGAAATTATGTTGTAGGTCTATTGTCAAGATGCACGGTCTGAAGAAAGAGTATGAACGGACGTTGCTATGTAAACTGTAACGACACGTTGAGGCTCCAAAATAGTTTTAACATAACGTACCCAAACTCTGTATAATGCTAGAAAATTGTTTATTACTGGGTTACAAACTCATGCATCTTTGTACAAACTATTGATAAACAAATATTACAAAGTCAAAATAGAAAATAACAACATGATATACAAAAACACGGGCTTCTCACCTTTTACCATGTGAGTATTAGGAATAGCGTTGACATTGGAAGACATACAAGTGGCAATCAAATGTGCTCCAGCAGAATGACCACATAAATAGACACCCCTAAAACATTATACACAAAACATTTGATTGATAGCCTCGCTGTAAATGTGTAACTTAAAATATCGATACTACAGTCTCCTTATACTATTATACAAACACAACTGTCATTACACGTATACCCGCAAAGCTACATTTCCTTAGGCAGTTACACATCCACAACTACCCACATTTACACTATGATATACATAGCCGCACGTTCTTCCATGATTACACACAGCATTACGAAGCTAAATTTCTTCACACAACTATATGTTTTACACTATTATATAAATATGTAATACTCTACACTAACATGTAATGTACTACACAACTGCATACCCTTACAATATTACACAGTTACATGCACATATACCTTTACACAACCACATAAACGTCGAACATTACACAGCAACGTGTTATTACACCATTTCACAAACGTGTAGTGATGCATTACACAGTTACATATGCTTAAACGTAATGTAATACACTGCTACATTTTGATTAAAATACATTAGAAATTACGTACCATAACTCGTTTTGCTCTTTTGTATTATATACTGAAGTAATTGCGTTGAATAATATATTCTTTGTTCATACATTAAGCGTGCCTACCTTTTCTACGCAAGTGAATTGAGTGTTAAGAAATATGTGAATACTTCAAGATATCTTTTCTTATTCCTCAGCGGCATCCTGGCCTGTTGTTTTAAAATAACAATATGATTAAAGATTGTAATGTTACTAGAAACATTTTCTGCACTATCTAAAAAAAAAAAAAAGAAAAGCGCGAGAAAAACATTTGCAATAATACTGAATGAGAATTAAAGTATGATTTTGTAATTAATCGGAGAACTCAAGGCCAAGTTTTAATAATGGAAACACTTTGGTAGAAAGAAGAGGAATTATTAGGGGTGTAAATTCAATAGCTATCCAACCAAATAGCTGTGAGAGTTAATGTAACATGGTATTTGAGAAACTATCGTGTTTTCTTTCTATCTTAATTTATCTACATTTAAAATGTCTTTCCTACATATACACCTATTCGGACGCGCGTGCAGAGTTTCGCATTGGACAAATCAACTCTGGGTTGTAGCGACGGTATTATGTTAAGTTTGTTAGATGTACGCTTTTCAGGGTTATCTTGAGTATTTTTTACTAAAAAACTATCTTAGTTCTGTACCACGTGCTCATTAGAACCATTGGTCACGTAAATGCTATATCATTCATACATTTACTTATGGGATGACCAAGTGACATGGATCAAGCTTGCACTCTGAGAGAATTGACTAGAATCGCTGAAGTATATAATGGTTAGTTCTCTCAGTCAAGAGCGGACATATACAGATTCTTTTTTTTTTGTTTTCTAGAAAAGTATGTCTGTCATCTAGTGTATTCGTCATTGGTATCGAGTCGTGCGTATTTGTGGCAACTAAAAAGTGATCTTTCGTTTCATTTTATTAGGTCGTCAATAAATTAATATTGCGTTTTGGAATATTTTCATTAACCACCACCCCAAAAACGTATATCACGTATAATAGTTCAACGAACCGCCTAAACGTCACATTAGTGAAGCCTATATAATGTGTAAAGTTTAGTATACTCTAATCCATTATAGTGATGGCACACGACGAGACATACATTCGGCATGTAATGCTGTTTGAACACAAGAAGGGAAACAACGTCTCTGTAGCCATAAAAAATATCAAAGAAGTTTATGGAAATGTTTTGAGCGTTCGTAAGTGTCAACGATGGTTCAGCAAATTTCATTCAGGTAGCTTTAGCCTTAAAAACTGTGATGGCAGGGGCCGACATGTTGGAATTGATATTGATGCTCTGAAGACTCTTGTTGAGTCTAACCCAAAGCAACACACTCGCAAAATGACATGTCTCTCATGAAACAATACGTAAAAATTTATGGTATATGGGAAAACTCATTAAAAAAGGTGTTTAGGTGCTTCACGAACTCTCCGAAGATCATCGTTTCCAACGTGTAAACGTTGCTGCGTCTCTTTTGTCGCGTAATGCGCTGGAACCATTTCTGGACAGAATTGTCACCGGTGATGAAAAATGATAGGTTTCTTTTTGGTGAGTGTAAAACACGTAAATACACCAGTTTGATTTTCGATACCTCACTAGTATGAAGGCTTGGTTTGGGGTTCTATAGGATTGCTACGAGTTCTTCAAATACCATATAGAATGATGATTTGATGATTGATTCTGTGTGAGAATAAACTCTTAGTATAAATGATTTTTTTATATCTAAGTTGAATAGAAGAAAAAAATCAATATTTTTACAT